TTTTTCAAAGGACCTTTTTCAAGGTGACTGATGAGTTGTAACATTATTCATCCCACTGAATCCCATCTAAATATATGATCTAACTTTTTGGGTTTGTTTTTTTTAAATATATTTTTTAAGTATACTTTAGGAAAAAAAAATGGAGGTTAACCTGCTGAGTGCATGACCTTCACCTAACCCTGCACAAGCATGCATGATACGTAACACTAAAACCAGGGATTTTAGTAGTTTTCCAAACAGCTAGCATTTTCTTGCTCCTTTTGTGCACAACGCATTTCAGAGAAGAAAACCAAGACCTCTCCAAGTCTTCTCCTATTTTTTCGTTCTCTCATATCCCCAAGGACAACGCAGAGGAGGTCATTACACGTCCTTCATTCTGCAGCTGCTCATCTCACTAGAGCATTTGAGGATACTAACACTCCCGAAAACAACTGTATGGCTGAGTTCTGAGCTAACTGCCACTTCCCCTCCCCCCCCACACTTAAAACCTCACTAGAAAGTGAAGATACAGAATCTAATTTTTAATGTTTCAATAGCTTGAGACACACTCCCCATTCCATGTTTGAATACTTTTCCAGAAGCATAATCTAATATCATGACATGTTCCCCAAGAGCCTGCAGTTCTAATAAAATCTTATTAGTTGAAATACTCAAATTTCTCCAGAGTACCTTTCTGGTTAAGTTCATCAAATAAGAGAGGACACAAGCAAAGTCCATCTCAAACCCCTCAGTTTGAAGATTTTCTAAAAGGTTTTTCTCCTCTCTCTTCCTGGCCACGACTATCTTGCTTCTAGCGGTTGTTCTTAGCTACGTCAAATTTGATTCATGAATTTTATGCACATCTGCCTGATGTTCCTGGGATCAGTTAAACACCTCCTTGAGGGAATTTCAGCACATCAGGATCTTCAACCTCAGCATGACTTTCTGTTGTATCATAGTCTGGATTTCCTTTGTACTAACAGAGTGACTAAAATGATCACATACTACATGACCTTCGGAGACGCAGCCAATATTTTCACAGCAGTTTCTTGCTCTTGCACAAACATGCCTTTTAAGTGTTACTGGAGAGCTGGCTACACTAGATGTTACATTGCATGCCTATTATATGTGCTTTTTAAAAGTAAGGCATTAACAATTTTGTTTTGACCATTTGATATCAAATGCCCTTTTTAAATCATGATTCAATGTTGTATGTCATTTCTAGGCACCTGCTTCAGATGTCTAGAAATCTTTCAGTCTTTCAGTCTACTTGGAAAATATACTTACTTTTACTGATATGATTCAGCAAAGATTTAAAGAGTTATGCTTATATTAAATCAGTTTTGTCATGGAGATCAGCCCTATATTCAGCAATACGTTAATTAGAATACTTAAAGCCAGCATAAGCAAAAATCTATTTCTGACAACACACGGAAATCTTTTTCCTCACAGTACCCCACACCCCGCTCCAAGGTCAGCAAGTATTTGTTGACAAAACAGAGTGCTAGATCTATTTACCAGGTTCCTTTGAAACTTCCTTCAGAGGACTGGAATACCAACTATTTATTTGTGGCATCTCAAACGGCAAGGGAGAGTGTTGCTGCAGGAACACCAAGAACAAGTACCAACAGTATTTGTTGATATTGGCAGCCAGGTAGAAAGGAAGAGCCTGACAGCCCTGTGCTAGTGAAAAATGACTCTCCACTGTGGAATTTGGAATGAAAACACTGTCTGGAACCTCAGTGCGCGTGGGACGCAGCTCACGCTCCATCAGAAACTTCACACAACAGCAATGAGATTTACTAAAAGAAAGGTGACTGAGGGGAAATGGGCGAATACTGCAGAGCATGGAAGAATTTGTATTCATTTTTTAAAAAACMTACACACAAATTGGAAGATCCCTGAAGTAGTATATTCTTTTTCTCTACAGAACAATTTGCTTAAAAATAAAGACAAAATCTGTGCCAGCCTATCTGAAACAATACAAAACCTCCTAGTATACCAGATGATATCCAGGTTCATACGGCATTTATTAAAAACATACTTGAGAGGGATCTGCTTTTCCCAGTCCATTTACCTCACCCTCAATCTCAATCATTTTGCTACTTCAGCTTCACCTCCAATTTCCAGCCATGCTGCATACATCCTTCTACTCTAATCGCTATGAGATCAAAGAGCTACCACAAAGTGGAACACAAAGTTCAAGTCTAATATTCCCATGCTACATCAAAATTGTTGAAAAGAGTTCATTTACCTCTAGCTACTAAATTGCTTACCCCTAGCCAATTTTACCATGAAAAGCTTTTTAACAAATACTTTACAGGGCTCTTAAAAGGTCTATGACTATATCGAGAAAGCAGAGCTACCAACCACCACCACAGGCAGATTCGCCCCGTCAATATTTTACACCTCTTAAACAGGCATGTCATAAGCTTTGACAGTTTGACCAAGTCCCTCCATCTGCTGCTTCTACTCCCTTGAGAGCATGTTGTTCATTTACRTTTCACACAATTCTCCTTTACTCCACTGCTATGCTTAAACAGCCATGAAAATGTCACATCAARTAAAATAAGATTAAAATAATCATAAGATTACAAGTCCAATAATCAATAATCATTTTAACCAAAGTTTAAAAAGAACTGAATCACTCTCACTCTTGGTAGTTGTGAGATAAGGTACCTGAAATAAAAACAAAAAGTACAAACGCGTAAGGTTTATGGTATTACTTCAGCCACAATTTATTTGCATCTCACCACTAAGAAGCATCTGCCAATTTCTGAAGTCTCAAGCAGCTAKTGTAAGCTCCTAGTACACTGGAGATTGCCCTGGAAATTGCACAAATTAGTTGTCACTTGGCTAGTAGTCTTGAAAACGTATGTTTGACTGTTTCTAAACAAGAATAATAWTACAAAATACAGTAATCTCTTTGCTTCAACATATTTTGCACATATTTAGGGAGAAATATTTAAATAATTCTTAAAAACAGCAGAATGCCTTCATTACTAGTAGCAGAAAAATTGTGAAGAACTAGATTTCTTGGCCTTTTGCACACGTACAACTTCAAGAGGATTCCAGAAGAGCAAAGACCAATGAATTAATTCAAGATATTATTCATAGGAAAATAAAAACACACCACCACAGAGAAATCAATCAGTAGGGGGAAAAAAAAAAAAAGAAAAAAAGAATATCAACAAAAAGCAAAAGACAAGCTTTCTTATTCCTACCACAGCTACTATCAGAATTTGCAGAGTAACACATGTTATATGAGATCTGGAATTAAAACCCTATGAGGCTTTAAAAATCATCTAGCTGACATGGCTAAGCTGTAGAAATAAGTCAGCATGCTAGCTGTACAGTTTATAGCTTGGACACTATGCATTATGCATTTAGTTTTCCTGTTCTTGCCCATCAGGCTATCAATAGGCAGCACAAGGCAACTTTGCTAGGGTCACACAAGCACACAAAGAAGCGTGCCATTGAAACCATTGCTTATATGCAGCCATTACAGCCATCACTAGGTATACCAAGTCTATGCAAGCTTTGCTGTGGTAGTACACCTGGTAAGAACTTCTTTGCATCCCATTTTACTTTCGGAAGAGCAATAAAGTGATAAATATCTATATGGAAGATGCAATATTTCTAGCATTATTCAGATAAAGCTGTGTTGTGAAATAAAATGATTTAAAATGACAATTTGCCAAAAACATATATGTCAGGCTAAATTCAACCCTAATTCAGAACTTTTTCTCAGGGAATTCAGTTATGCAGCATTAATATTTTGCACTGCAAAAAATATTTCTTCAAAACTAGACTATTAAAAATCAGACCTATGTTCAAGTGTCACTAAACATAAAACAGAGAAAGTTCCACAATTAATCAGAAAACACAACAGAAAAAGATTTCTCTGCATTAGGCCTAAGTTTCAAAGACTTAATGCAAGCATTAAGATACTTGGCTTACTAAATACCTCAATAAGAACACTGTTAGTAACTTTCCTTTATTAAAGAATTTTGATTTCTGCTGCTTGCACAAAAGGAAAATAAATTTAAATGATTTTGATAAACCATATAGGAAATTTGTATCAAAATCATATATATGTTTTAATATTTTATTAAAAGATTTTTCCTTAACTATAATTTACAAGGACAAAAGAAACTTTCAGGTCTAGCTATCTTTATAGGCAACAGATTTAAACATTTTGGTTATTAGAATTCAGTGTATCATTTGAAAAATCCATACTGCAACCTTGATTTAGATTTGCACACAGATCATTTTGGCTTCCATATCTAGGTAAGGAGGACAGTAAACAGTTAAAGTATGAGCTCTTAAAAGGAAAATAATGCTCAAAATAGTGGTTTATTCAAATGAGATTATTTTTTACACTACCAGACTTCAGACAATTTTTAGGTCCTTTTCTGTGAGATTGGGTAATGCCACCCTATGACTCAAAAACAGAAACTGAAGCTGAACTGAATATATGCTAATAGTGACAGATCAAACAACTACGTAGGAGGTTGTGAACAATGCATTGGAAAAGAGCTTTGCGTTCACAGTAACTAATCATGGGTTCACAGAAGCACCTATTTTAGTCTATGCAAGTTGGAACAGTGGTATTAATCAACCACTGCTGTGTCTGTGTTAGAACCCCCTAGAGATTTTTTTTTAAAACTTGCAAAAAAAATTAAGAAAAAGCACACCAATCAAGGGCAAGTTTTAGTGCGTCTGCAAAGAGAAACATGAGCCATGCAGCTTGAAAATGAAAATGTGCAGGGTTTGTTTCCATAATATTTATCAAAAAGACTTCTCCAGACAGTGCTCATCTCCATGTTGTCTTTTTTATGTATTTGAGATGTACAGCTTTACCTCATTATCTTTCAACATCATATTTAATTCCTCTGTCCTTCTTTCACTTCTACATCTTTAAAACCGTATCAGTATTTTTTTCTGCACTTCCATAGGCCCTTCAGTTTCAATCAGAAAGGAAAAACACATGTTACTTGGGATATAATTAAGATACTTACCTTTCCAAAATCTCTCACATCAAACAAATCAAATGCTTCAAAAAGTTCACTTTTCTTCATCCCAAATATTTCACAGCATGCCGAAAGAAAAGTTCTTATATTCTTCAAGCAAAGAAACTGGAAGAAAAATGGAGAGGGGAAAGGGGAAGAAAGATAAGCATAACGTGCATCAACCAGCAACCAACATGCTCAATAATGTTTTACAAAATTTACCAATTAAGTTATACATGTTAGCAATTCCACTACATTATGATTTTCAGTTGGTTATAATTCAGTCTTAAGAATTCCCTTCATATTCAGTCAAGTTCTGAGTACAGACATTGTGAGCAGAATTTCCCTCTTAAGTAACCAAATTAATTCTCTGCTAGGTAAGTTTCCTTCAGTTTGTTAAACAACCTTGATTTCTACACTGAATCAAAGATTATTTTCTTTGAGCTCATCTACAAACATCAATGATCATCAGAGGCTAGAAAGGAATAAAGCAAATAAACCCATCTACTATGATGTACAGTGCAAAATACACAATAATTATGAGCAACAGTATTTCAAACAGCAGTTTGCTTTGAATATTCTCTTAAGTACTGAAACAAAATTAAAACTGAGCTCCTGAAGGTCTCTACTGGTTATTTGATTCATAAGAGCACATTATGGCATACGGCTCATATGGATTATGGCATTACTACATGTTAGTGACGGATTAAGTAAAAGCAATACTTATAACTCAGACATAAGTGTCACAGCCATACTCATACTGAATGGATATTTAAAAACCAATGTGCTCATTCAGGCAGGTTTGGCATTGATTTACCTTCCACGCAATACAACAAAATACCAATTCAAATAATCTGATTTGATATCTTACAGAGATATAATCAAGTTGTAATATATAAGTACTGACTCAACAGTGCAAGATTAAAGAGAAGACAACTTCATTGGTTGGGGGACACAAGACGAGAGTTGAAAAATTCATCTAAATGAATTCCAACAGCACCAAAGCTCTCCAGAAGCCAGTTATGAAACCACAAGTCTTAGACCATATTCCACTGGCTTTCATCCTGTTTCAAGCAATGAATTAAATTCTAACAGAAAAAAATGACGAGGATTCCAATTTTTCCTTTTTGAAATAGTCATGAATTGAAGGTTACATGTTAAAAAAGGTTTATTATAGTCTAATATTCAATAACACAGAATTAAATCCTTCAGTAACAATTACAACACAATTATATTTTCTGTATCATCTTGAAATCACAGATTAGACATTTGTCAAATCACCAGCACTGAGACAGGACCACATCATGAATTCAGAGTACATAAAATGGTGCCTTTGATATAATAAGACCCCTGACAATACAATCTAATCCCTCCTGTTAGCAGGAAAAATACTAAGTGAGTTTATTTGGACACCTAATTGTTTGGTAACTCTCATTTCACTTGTAAAATGGTTTAAAAGACTTGTTTTTGAACAATAACCCCAGTACCTGCCTGGATGCAGCTGAGAAAATAAAACCATGCCCACACTATATTCATTTATTTTTTCAGTAAAACATATATGAGGAAATTCTTTATACAGAGCTTGAAATGCTCTAGTTATGTATTTTTTCTTGGAAATTTTGGAAGCCTTTTATACTACTGTTTCTTCACAGAAAAAAAGCATTATGCTTTGGTAGACAACACTGGAGATCAGTAAAGGGATAAAGAGGTGTTGGGTGCCCAGTTCCCTTACAGAGTGAAGGTTCGGCATCTCACTTGGTCTAATCAGCAGAAGCCACAAGAACTGTTGATTTTCTGAACAAGAGCTTGTTTCCCTTCATTAAAAACGCAAATTAAAAATATTTCCTTTGAAAACATTACTACTCTCTTCTTTACTACCCTGTTATTTCAGGACAGCAGTAGAGAATTATTTGCATACAGACAAGTAAAACCACAGCAGTACTGTAGCAAGAAATATAAGTTTAAAAAAATTACTGCCACTTATATTAGCAAGAAAATAAAGCTTATATCTGGCTCTTCTCTTGCTATATCATGAGAAGAGAGTTTCACAAGCACCCACATACACACTATAAAAACTGCCATTCAGCAAGGATGATCAGGACTCTGAAAGCATTTAGAAAGATGAGAATATTTTCTCATGAAGCTAAGAATGTACCTGTAAAGAACTGACCACTGTGGAATACTTTCCAAGAATATCTCTCCAGCAGCACAGTTAGAGAAAAGAAGTTAAAATACTTCTTGATTCAAAATATAGTCAAATTGATCAATTTCTAACATCTCAATGACTTGCTAGCTGCTCCTTTGGCAGCATATAAAACACTAAAGGTTTGTAAAGCTGCTTATTGAAGGATCTGTCAGTTATTCTTGTGCTGTGTTGACTTCAAAGGACATACAAGAAAAAAGACTCATACCAGCACTTCAGATGCAATGATACTTCTAAGAAGTCTCAAATACAGCTCCACAGCAGAGAAAGTCACCATAACAGACTGTTAAAATGCAATCCCTTCCCATTAAGGGCTTGGCTAATAACTGCAATGAATAAGTACAATACTGAGAGGTACACTGGCAATATTTTAAAGGAAAAGTATTCTTTTCCACATGCGTTTGTTCCATTTCCACATTAACCACTATAYATTGTAAATACAGGCTCCTTCTGTTGCTCAAGCACCGCTGTTCTTCCCACAGTCCCCCAGCATAAGAGGCTGCACCGCTGCAAGCAGTCCATGCACAGCCTTTGCAGGGCTGCAGTAGCATTCCAACTCTTCTGACAAATCAATAGCTTTTATAAAACAGACTATAGCCTCAATGGGCTCTTCTCCGACCTGCATTGAATTTATTTTCCAAAAGGGGCTTTAAGACGACATTTACTAAAAGCAAGAGCTTGCAAAAATACATTCACCCTATAAAAAAAAGCAGATATAACTGATAAAATTGTATGTTCTGACACAAAATGCCAAGACAGAAGAGGGGAAGTAATCCAAATTACAATTATACAAAGTGCTATAGGAAAAAGCATGCTGTTTTCTACCTGCAATCTTTGCCACTTCACACACAAAAAAAGTTTGAGGCTTATTCAACACACCTATGTGTGCTGACAGCAACGTATAGAAATATTTTGCAAAAGCTACTGAATAGAAACCATTAATCTGACAAAGCAGCACAGGCAGGAGTCTAGAGCTGCCCACAGGTGAGAGATTTCTCTAACCAAGCCTCTAAGGAAGCAAAAGATAAAATGCAAAAGCAAAAAAAATCATTTTCTCTATTTATGAAATAGGTAACTCTCAAAAAAGTGTACTTGAATGCTGAAATTTTTCAATGGAATAAAGGCTTATTTGCTACAGATCATATTCAGTATGTGGATATACTGTTAATATTGGAGAAATTCGTCAGGCTCAGAGACCAACACACAGATTTCTCAGCATGGCCTTCTATCCTTGGACATTTTCATGCAAGTCCCACCTTAGCAATACTAGTCAGTATGCAAGAGAAAACCAAAATGCCAAGAAAGAGCAAGTACATAGCAAAGACAGACCGCACTTTCAACAATTCATCTTTTTACTTACTAAGTTGGTTGAAGAGCAATTTGTATTTATTGCAACTCTCATTCCTTTTTTATTATGTCAATTTAGTTATGAGTAAGGAGGAATGTCCAGGGAGCCAGCAATTTCCTTACTTGGTTTAATGGGCATTCATTCATATCCTACTTTGGATAAATAAGAAACAAACGCTGAGCATACAGGACACTGATGTGCGAGTAGGAACAAACGCTGAGCACACAGGACACTGATGTGTGAGTCTGAGAGTAATTAGATACTAGAGCATAACGGACATCAACTACAAAGCACAGTACTGGGTTACTTCATGTCAAGSAAGTTGAGGCTGGAGGGTGTCTCTTTTTAAATTAAATGGTTCCATCAATTCTTAACAGCACAGCAATTCCTGTATTTCTGTGTGTAGCCATTACATGCCTGTCCCCTCTTCGCTGCACTTACCACATTTTGCATGTTACATTAACAGGTTCCAAATACAGCTGCCCTAAAACATAAGCCAGTCACTCAGTGATTAGCAGCTAGGAGCCATGACAAAAGAGTAAAAGCAAAGCAGGGGGGAAATTTTGCCTAGCTAATTCTCCACTAGATCCACTTGTTTCCTTCCAGAGAGGAGGTCTGTCACCCAGAGAAAGCCCCTTCCTCCTTAAGGGCTCTGTTTGATAAACCACCCAGCAGCAGCTATTTACCTCTGCCTAGATCTTTAAAAAACCCCATTTGACACCCAAAGGGGTGGCTGGAGTGGAGCAGGGGAGGTTTGAGGTAAATGCAAGCATTTGAGGTCAAAAGGGGAAAAAAAATGGGAAAGGCCAGGCATCCAAAACGACTGCATAAGAGAGAAGTAATCAGATGAACAAATTTGGCTTCAACCCGGGAAAGGGAACGGGAACGGGGGAGGCACTCACAGACAGTGAGTTTTCTACATTCATTTATGGCCTCAAAAAAAAAGAATCAAACAAAAAGAGTAGGCAGAAAAGATGACAACATCATTGCCATAATACTCCTTTCTCATGCACTTCCCAGATCTTGGAACTTATTGCAGAGGAAGGAGAAAGAAAAAAAAAGAAAAAAAAACCCTGCCTTATCTTCTCTAGCCATTTCTTATAACAATAAGATTTCTTCGGGAGTAAGAGAAAAATAAAAATTGCCATAACTAGAAGAATTACTTTGCAACACTCTGCCACCAAGGCGTCTGTACAACTTGTTTCAGTGCAAGAAAACTCAAATTAAAGAACTTGTTTCCTCAAAAATTTCTTCTTTGATACATATTGCCAAATGTCTGATGCTCACGGAGTTCCTCTTCAATACTCCTATCAGTTATATTAGTATTTGTTGTAACAACTTAATTGATACAAGTAACAAAATTCACACTAATGCTATTTTAACCCTGATAAATCCCAATGTCAGATTATAATCCAGGAAACTGTACAGTCCCTATTATGACACAAGAGCAACATCACCCATCCTACTCACAGAGCCAAGATGCTATGCTGGTTCCAAAACTTTCTATTGCTACAATATAAAGGCAGCAATAACAACAGATACAGATCTGCATTTTTCCATCGGCGTCTACATAAA